AAAGGTGGCCACCAAGGGACTGTGGTCAAAACAGCAAGAGTGCTTTAAAGCATTTGAGCTCATGGTTACTTTTTAAAACTTAGGAGATGGTACTCAAAGAAATCCAGATATTTCAGATGTATCTCTTTTTTTTCCAGCAGTGGGGATGGAACCTAGGGTCTCTTGCATGATAGGCACGGGCTGCACCGCTGTGCTGCGCACCCAACTCAGAGCGTCTGGGGTTCTGAGCAGAGGGTAGTGGTGCACATCTGGATCCCAGCACTCTGGAAGGGTAAGGCAGGAGGATCGAAAGTTTGAGCCCAGCCTGGGCGACATAGCAACTTAGCAAGATCATGTGTTAAAATAGAAACAAACAACCAAACAAACAAATGGAGGGAAGGAAGAAGAAAGGAAAAGAATATCTAGATTTCTACTCCTCACTGAAACAATCTGGTAATATGGAGTGTGGAAACAACCTGGAGAAAATATTTGCGGGCAGGGCAGCTGCTACTCCTGCAACTTAAATGAGGCCAGAGGCCCTGGATGGCCCCTGCCCGGGCCCCAGCATCTGTCTCCTTATTTTCTTCACTTCAGGCACCCACCTGGCCCCTGAGAGGTTGGTGCTGCCCTGAGCCCAGCTCAAGAGAGGCAGCTGTCTTCCCTGTCCCCTGTCCTGGGGAGCTGGGGCTTTGGAAGACAGTGGGGCTGTGCCCAGAGGATGCCAGGCTCCTGAGGATGGGGACAGCATGGCCTGTTGGAGGCTGATCAGATCTCCAATCACCTGACTAAGGGTTAGGCGGCAGGACCACAAAAGAAGCAAGATCTTAATGCATAAATGGGGGCCCAGGATGGTCAGAGCTTTTATCAGGCTAAGACAGCGTCTCCTGGAGCTCCCCACTATTTACTGAACGCACAGCTTCTTGGAGGAGTAAGAGGCGGTGCAGGGAACAGGAGTGCAGAGCAGTGACGAGAGCAGGGTCCTAGCAACAAAGGCACGAGACATTCCAGCAGGAGCAGATCACTGATTCATGGGAAATCTGTTTTTTTCCATAGATTGATTTCTGCCTCTATAGAAGTTTTCTGTAGGAGTCAGGCTGCCCTTAGCAGCACTGTTGTCTTGCCACCCAAGACATTACAGTGTCCCGGACCATTGAGTCCTCCACTGTAGCCAGTGGTGTGGGAGCTGTCCCTTTCCCACGCACAGGCTGCTGGTCTTCAGGCAGCCATGTGGCCTCATAGGCAGACTCGGACTTTTAATATGAAAAGCCAGTTTATGAATTTGTAGCTTGCCTACAGTGGTCTCCATCACCAGCCGGCATTGTCCAGCCCGCGTTTCAGGTTGCAGTACAATTGCAGACCCGGGAATGCATTTCTGTCAAGCCACAGCTGTATTTGAAGACTGGGGCTGCAGGACTCCAGGTCCTGCCCTTCCAGGGTCATGGAAACAGGGTTGGAGTCCGACCCCTCCCCCTGCTGTCTGTGTGACTGCGCTGAGCCTCTTTCCGCTTCTCAAGTGAGTTGTGAGAAGAGACATCTGTCATCCACACAGCCAGCCCACAGGCTTCGCACTGAGCCCTGGAGAAGCTGAGTGGTGTGGGCCCTGTGGCTCCATCAACCCAGGCCACCAGCACAGCACGGTTTAAAGCAGGACTCACGAAAGGCCAGAGATGCCCATGGAGGGAAGAACCAGGTCTCTCCCAGCTTTGCAGAAGCCCAGCGGGCCTTGGCAGGTCCCCTAGCCTCTTCGTGTTTTGTTTTTCTTAACCCTCACAGTGAAAACTGGCCAGTCAGATGTCAGTCCTCTGCAGCTGTGACCCAGTTCAGAGATACTCCTTGGCATTTATTTAGTTTAGGTCATTTAATTAAAATGAATTAGAATGCCATAAATGTCGGAGTCAGCTCCTTGGCCCTGGTGGCCTCTGGTTGTTCAGTCCCCACGTATGGCCGGCGGTGCTGGGGTGGACAGCTGGGCTTGGATGTCCCTTACCAAGCTCTTACAGCTGCTCTGCTCACTGGGAGGAAGAGCCTCAGGTGCAGCTGGACTTGCCAAGTCAACCCTGCATTTCCCTGAGAGTCCGTCATTCCCAGCTCGTGTCCAGGCCTCTCCCGTCTATGAAGCCCCACCCCACAGCTCCAAAGATAAAATGTAAGAATCCGGGTGTCTGCTGAACCTTTAAGGAAGGTGTCTTTCAGAAAGGGCCAAGCAAGTAGCAGCAGTGTGTGCAGTCTGACTCGCTGATCTTCCTGGAAGGAAGGAACTGAGAGGAGAAAGGTGAGCATGTGGTCAGTGTGGCCACCCCACCTCTGGAGCCAGAGGGCAGAGCTGCTCCAGCAGAGGCAGTAAGAAGGCACAGCTGCGTTGGTCCCACCCCTTCTTTCCAGGGTGTCAAGGTGCTTGGGAAAGTGGACCTGCTTCAGCCTTCTTACTAGCAGGCTGCAGGCAGGCCTGCTACTTGTCAGGGAGAGGAGGCGCCCAGTGGGGAGAAACACACCCCCCCACCACACACACACACACACACACACACACACACACACACACACACGCGCGCGCGCGCACCGCAGAGGGGTGGCCCGCAGCGGCACAGGGCTGGGTCTATGGC